AAACAATAATTACTGGTACTAAATAGATAATTATTAATATTCTTATTACCATTACTATCATTATAATTAGAATAATTATAATAACAGATAATAATACAGATAATAATTTAGAAATGAATTTCTTTTAAAGCACGTTCACACTTTAAATGGATATATATTTTCACTCGAGAATGAGAATTTCGTTAGTAACATGAATAATACGAAAAAAGAGAAAAAAAATATTACATTAATAATAAAATAAAACGTAGTTACACAAGTAATTGTCCACTAACGTGGACGTTAATGAGTTGAGAGATTGACTTGTTATTCAGTACTTGGAAATTGTTCAGTCTCAAGAGTAAAACTCACTTCCGAAGGAATGCACGCGAGTCTCTAATTAAGTATGTGTTAACGCAAACGCATTCACTTCGCGTCATATGTATATATATGTGAATACAAAACGAATAAGAAACAAACTTATATATACGTATATGTATATAAAATATACGACTTGTCGGCTTTATAATAGGAAGCGACGAATTCAATTCGATTCGCTGTGCAATTCTAAGTACTATGAATTATGGGTTAAGTACTATTCGCTTTTAACCGTTTCAAGAATATATACATTTAACACAAATCATAATGATGTAACAAAAGTTGTTAATTTACAAGGGCTAAGGGTTGAGTGGCGCTGATTTTATCAGCGTTGAAGAGAAAACATAGATTACGAATACTATTCGTTATTATTGGTTACAATTAACTATAATTATTAGGAGAAAAAATTACTGCTAGTGAACAATAACTAATTATTAGAGAAGATAACTGATTACTAGTAAACAATAACTAATTATAATTATTCTTTACTATTAGTTTTACTTTACGAATATTCAGTTATTGTTCATTAATAAATAATAATTAGTTACTGTTTAATAATAAATATTTCTTGTTTATTAATAAAACTGTAACTAAAATAACGCGCGCGTGTGGTTTCTTTTTGTTTTGTGCTTAAACATATACTTAAAAAAATTTTTTCATTTTCATATTAAATTGTATTTTTTGTAAATAAAAGTAAAAATTATTATAAGCAAAAAAAGGTTAAATGGATAAATATAAGAAATATTGAAAAAACAAAAGCATACACAAAAGTCTAAGTTCTGGTATAAAAATTTTACTTATGTAGTTTAAAATTAATTACATCAAAGAGTTGCATTTACAATTTTCATAAATAGATGAATATTGACATCATATAAAATTTCAATTTTCAATGAATTTTGTTAGAAATTTTAAAAATTAATTAAGTTTTTAAAAATTTTAATAATTTAAATTCTTCTAAAATTAATTAAATTTTTAAATATATATATTTAATTAATTATTAAAAATAGTGGAAGACGAAATTTACAGAAGAATTTTACTCAAAAACACTAAAAAATTGAATTTTGGAAAAATTATAAATAATTGCATAAATTCAATTATTTTCAAAAGCAATCAAATTCTTTTCCAAAATTCAATTATTTTAAAAATTTTTGAATAAAATTTTGAGCAAAATTTTTTGGCAAAATTTCAATTATTTTCAAAAATTTTCCTCAATTTCATATGAATTCTATTATTTACAAATTTTTCATAAATTTATTCGCCATAATTTAAATATTTTCAATAAATAATAAAATTTTTTACAGGGATTGAATTATTTTCATAAATAATGAAATTCTTTTCAGGAATTCAATTATTTTCGTAAATAAAAGTCAGAGAAGAATTTCAATTTTTTTTTATACAATTTTAATCGAATTCCTCGAAAAATGTAATTGTTCTTAAAAATTTTATTAAAAATCGTCAAAAGAAATCAATAAATTATTTATTTTTGCATTTCAATAATTGAATTCTCGTAAAATTTTCTAGCAAAAATTGACTTAAAAATGAGTTTTAGTTAAAATTTAAAATTTGAATATTTATTATTCAAATTCTTTAAATATTTAAATAATATTTGAATATTAAAAGTATTAAAGCAAGAATATTAAGAAATAATTAAATTTTTAAAAGGTTTGAAATTAAATTCTTTAAAAATTTTAACTTTTTATATATACTTATAACCAACAATTTTGTAGAATTAATTATTTCGAAAAAGTTTAATTACCTTTTTTCTGAAATTATTTGAAGTGTTTATTTTTTAATACTTACTTACGTATTCAATTAAAGAATTTCTGAATAATTGAAATTTCGTAAAATTTAATTTTAAACAAATGGATTTGTAAATTTTCACAAAACTTTTTCAAAAATTATTAAAGATAATTGATTTAAAGAAGAATTTTATTTAAAAATTCTAGAAAATGATAATTGAATTAAAATAATAAAAAATAAGTTTGAAAAAATTGCAGTAAAAATATTTCTATTATATAAAATAATTATCTTATCACTCGGTTATCTTTAATTCATTATAAAAAATGAAGAAACTGATGAATTACAAAAGTAATCGATTTCTTCATGTTTTATAATAAATATTCTTATAAGTTGTTAAATTTCAAAAAGGTTTGATTTTGAAATTTTTGAAAATCTTGATTCCTGTGGAAACATAATAATTAAATATTTATTTAGGAAAATAAGTTATTGATGTTTTCAAATAATTTTACAATCGTTTTTAACAAATAAAAATTTTGTAAATATTTTTTCCAAAAAAAATTTTTAATTTCTTAAACAAAATTTGATTTATAACATTTTTTTTTACTTAAAACTTGTACTTTGTACTTTATCAAGTGCCTCGATATAATATTATTACTGAACCAATAAATTGATTTCCAATATACCCATTTTTGAATTACATTGTCGAATCATACTTCCTGTATATAATATGTTATTTCACCCATGCTCTAATTCCGTGACGGTTTTTTCCCCTCTTTTTTTACTTGTAAGTGTAAATATATACATTTTTATATATATGTCCCAAGTTCATAAAAGTATATAACAGAAAAACGAAAGAGAGAAATCCAAATCAATTTGTGAGTAATAGAAAATTCTCGAGTGGTCACGGCGCATTAGAGAAGCAGAAACGAGCCATTGAACGAGATCCTCAGGACTCGTTCGAAGAATACAAAGAGGATCTTGAGGTCGACTATAAATCAAATTCGGTGGAGGTATATAAAAATGAATTTTTATTTCTTCGAATTTTTAAGAGGCCCCTTTTTTCCACTCAAGATTCACCATTCAAATATATACATACAACTCTATAAGTGAAATACCGAAGGCCAATGGATTTTTACACCTTTTTTCAAAAATAAAAAGAATGAAAAAAAAATGGGAAGAGAAATCGATTAAAAGGCGTAAGCGAGAAAGACTTTATTAATTTCATTTATTCAATAGGCTTAATATTAAAAGCTTTCATGATTCTTAAGTGTCGAATTCGCTTAAACGAAATTAATTTTTTAATTACATGGATATTCTTTTTTATCTCTTTGTTATTTAATTTTTTTTATCATCATTTTACTTTCCTGTACAGGTACATACTAAGTTCCCTCTTATAACTCAGCGGTCAATAAAGTGCCCATTATTGCCCTAGGGCAATAATGTACAATTTATTGACCGCTCGCAGGTGAATAAAGTATCCATTATTATCCTAAGGCAATAATGGTCATTTTAATGATCGCTAGTTGGTGAAAAAAGTACTCATTACTTCCCTAGGCAATAATAGCTTGCAGGTGAATAAAGTACTCATTAATAGCCTAGGTCAATAATGATCACTTTATTTAGCGCTTGCAGGTGAATAAAGTATTTATTATTAACCTAGGGCAATTGATTAATTATTTTATTGACCACTTGCAGTTGTATGAAATATATATTATTACTCTAGGGCAATAATGGAAGCTTTATTCAGCGCTCGCAGGTGAATAAAGTATCCATTATTGCCCTAGGACAACTAGGGCAAAAATGTTTATTTTATTGACCGCTCGTAGGTGTGTGAAATATGTATTATTACCCTAGGGCAATAATAGAAGCTTTATTTACAGCTCGCTGGTGAATAAAGTATCTATTATTACCCTAGGACAATAATGTGCATTTTGATGCATTGATGGCTTTCAGGTGAATAAAGTACTCATTATTTCATGTCAATTTATTAATTATAAATTATAGTGTTATCAAATAATAAATTATACATAAATAAAAAATTCTTTTGACATGAATTTAAATTATCTCTCGAATAGAAAAATTGCAACAAATGGAGAACAATATGATATCCTTTTTTTTCTAAGGGAGTGGGCAAAAAAAAGAAGTGGAAAAGAAAAAAAAAAATTTGTTCTTTTTATTAAGGGAAGGTTGAGCTCTTGGGCAGTGACGTATTGTCTCCCGCGAGAGGAACCGCTTTGGCGGAACGGGCGCAGAAACGGGCGGAGGAAAGCTGCTTTGTGGTTTCTTGCGAAATTTATGATGATTAAACGTTGCGTCTCGGGCAGAAGGTGTAAGGATGACTTCATTGGCTAACCCGCATCCATTGCCATGCTCAGGACAAATTAGATTACAATTTTATGTCCCCCAGAGAGATTTGCCGTGTGTCCGCAAAACGATTTCTCGTCTGCGATATAACTTCCGCGAAAATAAATTCATTTTTCCATTGGTTTTTGAAAAATATTTCAAAATTCATGTCACTTTATTTTATTGTTGATGAAATGTTACGTTTCTCCTCTGTTTAAACACCAGAGACGCAATATTTTTGATTTACAAGTGAAGACTTTGAAAATATTTTCAAATCAAGAAATTTCATATACTTATTTTTTGATTTTGTTCAATTACTGCTGTATCTATTAGAGAGAAACTTTCACTTTGTTGATATACAAATATTGATATTTCTAATATGTCTTTTACTTTACAAATTTGATATTGTCCCTCAACTCATAAAATCTAAATTTATAGTTTTCTAAAAGATTTCAAAAACAACTGATACAACAAAATATAAACATGCTAATAAAAAAATTATTATTCTTTTTTATAACAAGTATTTTTTATTTTCAAAGATTACAAACAGCTATAAATAGACCTTGACAAAATTAAAATTTGTTCCTTCGAAACGCTTAAAGAAACAGTATTAGAAACGTTTTAAAGTAAAAGAATAAATTGTAATAAAGTAATTTTGAAAAATTCGTAATTATGCGGTTTGCTGCTGTCTTTTTATTTTTGTTTGCATTTTATCGTGATTGCACGACACGCAACGCTTACGATTTGTATGACTTACGGGAAGCAATTCGTAAGTCGCATTTTATCTATTATTTACTTTCATTATTTATTGTAGTCAATAGAATTGTTTAAAAAAAAGTTTATTACTTTTGAAACGTAAATATCACTGTTTGATTTTGTAATTTAATTTACAGACTTTTGTACAGAAAATATCTTAAATACTGGACATCATCCATTTTACAATTGCAGAGAATATGAACGTGAATATGTAGGAATAGATAGAATTACTTTTGGCAGAAGTGAGATAATTTAAATTGAATAAAAATTATTTTTATTTATGTAAGGGCAGCTGGGAAAAATGCAGTTAAAAGTAGGTCTCTGCTATTGCGTAAATTTTTTCTTTTAAATCACTATAAATAAGAGTTTTTTCATTATGCTGTTTTTTTAACTTCCCTAGAATAATTGAACCGCCGGATCGTAGAAGGGCATATAGCTCATTTGAATTACATTGGCTATATGCCCTTCTACGATCCGGGGGTTCAATTTTATGAGGTGGTGGAATAAATGAGTTATTCATTAAAACAAACAGTTTAATATTAGGAATCAAATTTTGTAAAGGGCAAAAACCATCATTGTCCCCAGATGTCCACGGACAAAAAGGGACGTCCTATATATAAAATTATTAAATTCAAGTCAAGTTTGTAATACAAAAATACTAGTTTTTGAGATTTTTAGTGATAAAAGTTTAAAAGTGCATTAAATTTCAGTTTTCATTTACCAAGAATGCTAAAATTGACCTTTTTACAATAATTTTAAGCTTATTGCGTCATGCAACTCAATTCACCTACTGGACCTTACTATCTTTGCGCGAGGAATTTTGAGGAGGCAAACGTAACCACAGATATTGCAGAGGAACCAATACCACCATTTATTGCCGAAATGGATGATGTCTCTCGCTAAAAATTGATTCATTGTAGAATATCACAATTACAGGATAATTCACAATGTAAATTTCTGTAATAAAATAAATAGATAATTTCATTCTACAAATTTAACTATTTTTATTGTCTTCTATCACATTCACATTGAAATTTCCAAATTTTCACCTCAATTCCAACGTAAGAAACATCTAATTAGAGAATTTAAATCTTAGAAGAAATGGATTTTACGTAAAAATAAAATTATGAAAAATATTGATTCGATATAATAATAATTATGAGAAATAATAGTTCGGTAAATTTATATATTAGTTAGAAAAAATACAGGTTAGAAAGTTTATAACAAAAAAAGTTTATAACAAAAGTTTTATAACAAATGATATTTTGAATGGTGTTACGAAAAAGCACAAATGAATTTGCACAAATGAAAGATTCTTTTCGAATTTTCTCTTCCTTGTTATAATATTTATTTAAAAATTTAGTATAATCAAATTATTTTTTGAAGTTAGAAGTTCGTTTTTTCATTTAAAAATCAGATGTGTTAGTTTCTTTGGAAAGATATCTTAAGAGTGTTTTTCTTCGTAACATTCGGTAATATTAAAATTATATTACTCTAAAATAATTCGAGAACATAATTATAATTATTTAGAAATCTATAAAATAATGTTTATCAAAATTAATAATTCAAAAATGAAAATATTAATGTAAATAATATATATATATATATGAATTTTTAGAAATGATTATTCAGTGATTTGAATATTATTCACGATTAAATATTTTCTTTCTTAGAAGTTTATAAAGTAAATTTTTTAAATTTTAAATAGAAAATTTAAATTTAAATTTACTGAACTTTCGTATATTAAATTTATTGAAATTTATTATACGATTTGAGAAAGAAGATGGTTTTCAAATATATTTCGAAAATTATATTTTTTAGAAAATATTAAAATATTTATAAACAAAAAAAAATTATTTTTAATCACGAGAAAAAGTGAAATCAAAAATATTTAAACATTTTTTGGAAAATAATGTTTTAAAATATTAAATTACACAGGTGTACAAAATATGACTTTTTTTTATTAGTTGTCAGAGTGGTTTCCGATATATTTTTTTTTATGCGCTGAACACGATACTGCGGGTTCTAAAATTACGTCGTACGTCAGGATTTTGAGAAAAGTAGGGGTAAATACCCCAAAAATTGTTTAAATTGTTTATATGCTCTTTTTTATAGGAATACTTTAATTTTTGTAAAAACTTCTTAATAACATCAACTATTAATTTAATGAATTTTAAGTACAATTCCCTTAAAATAAATATTTTTTATAGAGTAAATATCTTAGCTGGAATGCCGCAGTAATTGATACAGTTATATAGCCTAAACGAAAATACAAAAGAAAACATTTCTTTTTTTAATTATTAATAAAATTAATCAATATAAATTAATTAATTATAATTGACATTGCAGTAAATAGAATAATAGAAAAGTAGATAAAAAGTTAAAGATCTCATGAATTAGAGAATTCATCAGGAAAGACAATGAAAGGAGAATAAGAGCAATGTACAAAATCTTTATTTCGGGATCGAAACTTTGAGAGTGTTATTTTTCTTTGGTAATGGGTTTCGGGCGGCCGAAAATTGTCGGTAGGAGAGTCGAAAATTGAAGCAATGTGGAAGGAGAGAGGAGAAGACTAGTTACCCTCTACTATCAGTTACACTATTATCTCCCAGCGACTACTGGGGAAAATTCACGATTATATCTAAATTTGCTTTTGACCTACACTGTGTATATATATTGTACAAAAAAAAATATTCACAAATCTCAACTAAATTTTCGTTTCCCATCAAAATTTAATATTTTTCATGATTTTTAAATATTGTCAATAAAAAAAAATATATTTAACAATAATTTATTAAATTATTTTTAAAAATATGTATTTATATCCTACCAATTTTTCTCCAAATAAAAAATCTTGCTTTTTGTCTCCCTTTCATGTATTCAGGATCAATGATTCTCAATTTAATGTTAGATCTAAAAACTTCAAAATGGTCCAATATGGCGAATAGGAAATTTTTTAGAATTATCCAAATTCACTTGAAACTTTTTAGTCAGGATTTTTACAGTTGTTAGATTAAAATTTAATTGTGAAATTCACATTTAATAACCATAAAAATTTCAAGCAAAAGTTTTTTAAACGAATGCAATCAAATAAAAAATTTTTGTGATTGACGTACTGAATCAAACATTTTGAATTTTGTGAATACAGATTCACCGATATTTTACTAATTCGAATCAATAATCAACTTCAAATTTAATCTAAAATTCCAATTACGTACCATCCTATATAAAATCCCAAACAACCGAAAAATAATCTAATTCCTCCATAAATTTAAAAATAAAACTCAATAACGAAATTTAATTACAAAATCTAAATTTAATTACCATAAATTTTATACGAATTGGCATTGATAATGCTTGTTAATTTGAATTCAGACGCAAAATAATGTACGAGAGGATGAAGGCATGGAAATTTGTAAATTTGTCGAATAATGAAGATGAATTCGGATCGTGGTGGTCGTCGTCATTCGAAAGAGTGAGAGAGAGGGAGAATTTGAGAGTATCTCTCGCGACACACCCGTTAGACTCGTATCCACAGTTGGGAAGGGACGAAGGTAATTAATTGCCATGGCAACGAACACCGAGCAGAAGCATCGAACGCCACCCCCGCACAATGTAACTGAAATATGGCGCCCCGTACGAATTCCTCGCGTTAACCAGGACCGTTTCACTATAAACGCATCGCTCTACATTACATTACATCGCACACTTTCCCATGAAATTTAATCTGGCACCAATTGCCAGGGAATTTACTACCCATAATTAATTACACGTGTACGATAATATTAAAAGTCATTCGTACCTTAAATATTTCAAGTGCACTATATAAAATCGAATTATTATTTCAAGTAATTGGAATATTGTAACCGCCCACAATTTTTCTGTTACAAAACACGATGAGGGGTGTAAGATAAGAGAATTCAATTTTTCAAGTTTCAATTCATTCAATTTATTTTTAAATTTTATTAAATTTTTATTACTGTTATTATTATCAATATTTATATTATTATTTATTAATACTTAAATAATTAATTCTAAATTAAGCCAAAGGATCAATTTAATGCGGAAAAGTAGAGGAATATCTATACAAAAATTATACTACAGGATGGCGCAAAAATTTCATTTTATTTTTGCCCGATTTCCAAAAAAAATTTTGACATTTGTTTACGAATCTCTTTAATTGTAAAATTATTCGAAAACATCAATAACTTATTTTTAAAATAAATATATAATCATTATTATTTTTCAATAGGAATTAAAATTTTCAAAAATTTCTAATTCAAACCTTTTTGAAATTCAACAACTTATTAGAATATTAGCACAAAATATGAAGATATCAATGACTCCGAGTCTTCGACTCGGAGAGATCGATTTCTTCTTGTTTTATAATAATTGAGGGTCCCAATCAAAGAACCGGTTATAATTTTTTTAAGCTCAAAATCATTGCCCTGTAAGTCACAAATTAAACTGTTTTTAATCCCAATTTTTTAAAAAACATTTTGGTAATCTTTATACAATTACGAAATGTTTTCAAGAAATTGAAATTTTAAATCCTTTTTTTATTTAGAGATCGAAAATTTTGAGTCTCAAAAACTAAAAACCGGTTCTTTGATTGGGACCCTCAATTAAAGATGACCAAGTTTTATTATTTTTAATAATTTTTGAAAAAGTTCTTTGAGAATTTTCAAATCCATTTGTTCACAATTCGATTTTACGAAATTTCAATTATTCAGAAATTCTTTAATTGAATTCGTAAGTAAGTATTAAAAAATATAAATACTTCAAATAATTTCAGAAAAAATTCAATTAAACTTTTTAATAATAATTAATTCTACAGAATTCTTCCCTAAAAGTATGAAAAATTAAGATTTTCAAAAATTTTAATTTGACACCTTTTCAAAAAATGGTTTATTTAAAAATTATTTTTTAATTAATTTGTTTAAAAAAAAAATAATTTTTTTTTGACGAAATATTTCTTTGAATTGTTAGTAAGTAATAAGCATTTCCTGAAAATTTTATTAAATTTCGTTCATTTTTCTTTGAGATATATCATTTTCAAAATTTCAGAAAAAAAAATTATAAACCTCGTAAATCCAAAATTTTTAAAAATTTTTCCGAAATCGATTTTGGGCTTTTTACTGGCATGTATTCCATTGCAAAATTTCGAAGTTTTAACAAAATCGAAGAAGTTGACGACAACTTGGATTTTTTAGGCATGGACTTACCCCTATTCAATTATTATTTAAAATTTTAACTAAAATTCATTTTTAAATAAATAGGAAAATAAATAATTTATTGAATAATTGAATGTTTCTTAAAATTGAATTTCCATGAAGAATTTCATCAACAAATTTTTAAATAATTGAATTCTTTTGACTAATTCAAATAAAATTTTTAAGAATAATTACAGTTTTCGAGGAATTAGATTAAAATTGTATTAAAAATAATTGAAATTCTGCGATAAGTTTTATTATTTATAAAAATAATTGAATCCCTGTAAAAAATTTAATATTTATGAAATAATTGAAGTATTGTGAAGAAATTTAAAAAAAAAAAAATTATAAATAATTGAATTCCTGTGAAATTTTTATTATTTATGAAAGTAATTTAATGTATATGTAAAATTTTATTAAATTTTTTTATAAATAATTGATTTCTTTTGGAAAACTTTATTAAAATAGGAAATATTGAAAATCATTTAATTGAGGCAAATTTTTGTAAATAATTGAAATTTTGCCAAGAACTTTATTAAAACTTTTGAATATAATTGAATTACGAAGAAGAATATTATTTTTACAGATAATTGGAATTTTAACGAAAATTTAAAAAAAAATTTATATAACTGAATTTTTGCGAAGAATATTTTATTACTTTAGAGAAAAATTGGATTTCTACAATCATTTGTAACTTCTCAAAGACTTAATTTTTTTATATGTTTTTAACTAAAATTCTTCAATAAATCCATTATTTTTAATAATTAATTAAATACCTATGTATT